AGTTAAAAATCTCTGTCAGTGGTGTGTTTCTGGATAAACCCAAATCTAGTCAAGGTGACAAAGAAGACGAACTGCCACCCCGTCCACCTGGAATGTGCTCAGGGTAGTGGGCAAGCACTAATGACTCCTCTGCTGACGTCACTGGGCTTCCAGGAGGCTTCAGCATCACACTCTGAGCCAGCCTGTGTCCCAGCCTTCTTTGCCTATGCATTTGGTACAGCCTTTGGTTCTCACAGATTTAGGCTTTCTTTGAGCCTTCCCCTCCCTGCTTGGATTTATAATACATCTAAAACTTTGGCATCTGCCCCAAAGACAAACTCAAGACAAAGACCCAGGCAGACCACAGTTTTTATCTACTATTCTTTTTCCCTCCATCTCTAAATTCATTTTGTTAGTTCTGTACTCCAATAATGACTTATTTAATAATGATTCTTTAGTTCTTTCAACTTTGGTGTCTACTTTCTTCTTCTTTTGCTTGTTTGTTGTCTTTATATAGATTATTTATTTATGGGGGAGGGGAGGACATGCTGCCACAGTGCATATGTAGAGGTCAGAGGACAACGTGTGGGAACTGGTTCTCTCCTTGGATCTCATGGGTCCTGGGGATCAAACTCAGGTTGTCAGGCTTGGCAGCAAGTGCCTTTACCGCTGAGCCATCTGGCTAGCTAATTTTTTTTCCTTAGTATTGGGAACTGAACCCAGAGACTTACGTATATACAACACATGCTCTAACATTAAGCTATACCTCTATTCCACTCTTCGTTGAAACAACAAAACAGGTCTCACTCTATAACTCAGGGCAACCCCCCACCTCAGCACTGCCACACTGGCCTGCCTTTTACTTTCCTGTGGTTCTGTGTTCCCGAAACTCCAGTTCACTGATTGCTCCTGTGAATCAGAGCAGAACTACTGCACATCACTCTGATGTTTCCTACTCCCAGCAGTACTTACCGTCAAACTGATAGTGCATGGTTTGATGGATACGCTCTGTGACACTGGCCAGCCAGTCTTGGAAGGACAAGGTCACTTGTGCCTCATCTAACAGCTGACCACAGACTAGGAAAAGGAAAAAAACAACAACTTTTTTCATTAACGTTCAAAATAAATAATTAACTGAAGCTTCAAATAGTCAAGTAGTTTATACAGAAAAAAAAAAAAAGCACAAAAATTAAATACTGAGAAACTAAGTGAAATAGGTTCCAGGACGTTTTCTTTTAATTGACATATAACAACTACACATTTTCTTATTTTCCTTTTTTCTTTTTGGTTTTTCAAGACAGGGTTTCTCTGTGTAACTTTGTGCCTTTCCTGGAACTCACTCTGTAGCCCAGGTGGGCCTCGAACTCACAGAGATCTGCCTGCCTCTGCCTCCCGAGTGCTGGGATTAAAGGCATGTGCCACCATCGCATGGCCTACATCTTTTTATGATGTCCAATGTGATAACAGACTTCTTTTTTTTTAAGATTTACTTATTATTTTATGTATATGAATGCTCTATCGACTTTATGCCAGAAGAGGGCATCAGATCCCACTATAGATGGTTGCGAGCCAGCATGTGGTTTCTGGGAATTGAACTCAGGACCTTTGGAAGAGTAGCCAGTGCTCTTAACCTCTGAGCCATCTCTCCAAGGCCCCAGACATTTTTTTTAAAATATTTATTTTTATTTATGTGTCTACATGGGTACCTACATATATGTATATGCACCATGTGCATGCAGTGCTCTCTGAGGCCAGCAGGCCATTGAGTCACCTGAAGCTGGAGTTATAGATGCTTGTGAGCTACCCAGTGTGAATTCTGGGAACTGAACTTAGGTCCTCTTTAAGAGTAGCAAGTGCTCTTAACTGCTGAGTCATCTTCCCAGCCCTATAAAAATAAAAAAAATTAAAAAAAATCCATTTATACTGGGCATGATGGTATATCCTTGTAATCCCAGCACTTAGGAGGCAGAAGCAGGATAATGATACGTTCCAGGCATACTTGGGCTATATAGTAAGCTTGAGGCCAGCCTGGGTTACATGAGAACCTGTCTCAAAAGATCAAAAGTAAATTCATTTGCAAAAATGAATGCAAGCCCTTAAGACCAATAGGTTTAAGACTGTTAATCACAGGCTAGGAAGATGACTTAGCAGTTGAGTTGAGGAAATTGCTGATCTTCTGGAGCATTCTAATTTTGATCCCAGCATCCACATCAGGTGTAATTTTAGTTCCAAGGGATCCCATACCCTCTTATAGAAATTACTCCCATTTCTGAGTATGTATTTGCCTAACACAAATTCTCTCAGTAATGAAGCTCTCTGTTTCCCACTAAGAGTGGTAGAGAGGCCAGGAGTGGTGATGTCTGCCTATAATGCCAGCATTTGGGAAGCAGAGGTAGGAGGAGCAGGAGCTCAGGGCTATCCATGGCTACACAGTGAGTTCTGAGAAAAATAGGTTGAACAGCCAGGTGTAGTGGCCCATCCCTTTAATCCTAGTACTCAAGAGGCAGAAGCAGGTGGATTTCTGTGAGTTCAGGGCCAGCATGGTCTACATATCAAGTTCCATGACAGCTAAAGGCTACACAGTGAGACTCTGCCTCAAAACCAAATCAAGACAAACCAAGGTCTAGAGAGATGGCTCAGAGGTTAAGAACACTGGTTGCTCTTGAAGACCAGGATTTGATTCCCAGGACCCACATGTCAGCTTAAAATTGTTTATAATTCCAGTTCCAAAGGGATCTAATGCCCCTTCTGGCCTCTGGAGGCATTAGGCATGCACATTTTACACAGACATACACACATGAAAATGCCTATTCACATTAAATAAAAATAGTAATAAAAAATAATGAAACAAAAAGTTGAGCATGCCACTTAGAGAGGTCATTTACTCTGAGTTGCTATGGTATCTTCATACTTAACTATAAATGTTTGTATTCAGAAATGCAAAAGACATTATCAAATAAAAGAAAATGGTAAAATCTTGAAGCCCTGGAATAAACAACTGAGAAATATATTAACAAGGGATGGAAATTAATGGGGCCAGAATAAAGATCTGGGAGTATATGAGGCTCAGTGTGAGTACACATGCCTAGCCTACTTGAGGCCCTGGTCCAATCCTTTGTATCACAAAAGCAAACCAAAAAAAAAGATATAACTTAGAGCTTTAAAAATTTTGTTTTTAGCCAGGTGGGCAGTGGTGGCACACACCTTTAATCTCAGTACCTGGGAGGCAGAGGCAGGTGGATATCTGTGAGTTCTAGGCCAGCCTGGTCTCCAAAGCCAGTTCCAGAAGAGCTAGGACTGTAACACAGAGAAATCTTCTCTTGAAAAAAAATCCTGCCTCCGGGCAGTGGTAGCGCATACCTTTAATCCCAGCACTTGGATCTCTGTGAGTTCGAGGCCAGCCTGGGCTACAGAGTGAGTTCCAGGACTGCCAGGGCTACACAGAGAAACCCTGTCTCGAAAAACAAAAAAACAACAACAAAAAATCAAACCAAACCAAAGATTTTGTTTTCACAGGCGGGAGTAGCATATGCCTTTAATCCTAGTACTTGGGAGGCAGAGGCATCAAACATCTGAGTTTGAGGTCAGCCTAATGTTGTGGGATATTTACACTGTGTGAAGATGTGTTGTTGTGATTGGTGTAATAAAAAGCTGAACGGCCAATAGGTAGGCAGGAGGTATAGGTGGGACTTCTGGGCAGAGAGAGAACTCTGGGAAGAAGAAAGATGGAGTCGCCAGCCAGACATGGAGAGGAAATAGGAGATGCAATATGGAAGAAAGGTAATGAAATGTAAGAGAATTGGGGCTGAAGTTATGGCTTAGCGGTTAAGAGCACTCGCTGGTCTTCGAAAAGACCCAGGTTCAATTCTCAGCACCCACATGGCAATTCACAACTGTCTGTAACTCCAGTTCTAGGGGACCTGACACCTTCACACCAAAGCATATAAAATTATTTTTATAAAAAAGAAGTATTTTTGGTGGTGAACCTAGCCTTTAATGGCTGAGCCATCGGAAATAGCTGGGCGGTGGTAGCGCATGCCTTTAATCCCAGTACTCTGGAGGCAGAGCCAGGTGGATCTCTGTGAGTTCAGGGCCAGCCAGTGCTACAGAGTGAGTTCCAGGACAGGCATCAAAACTACACAGAGAAACCCTGTCTCAAAAAATAAATAAATAAATAAATAAATAAATAAATAAATAAATAAATAAATAAATAAATAAATAAATAAATAAAAATAAAAAAAAGTGACAGAATGTAGATTAATATAAATGGGTTAAGTTATAAGACCTAGTTGAGACAAGCCTAAACTAAAGGCCAAGCTTTCATAATTAATAAGAAGTTTCCATGTCGTTCTTTGTGAGCTGGCAGCAGACAAAAAAGCTTTTACAGCCTGGTCTACAGAGTGAATTCCAGGACAACCAGGGCTACACAGAACAACCCTGTCTCAAAAAACAACAAAATTGTTTTCAGTAATTTTAAAGTTTTTTCTTTAAATGAATATATACAGCTTTTTGTTCTTATGTTCTTATACAGTTATAGGGAATACAAAGCTTTCCTGGGTGTGATAGTGTGCACCTATAACCCAAGTACTCAGGAGTCTAAAGCAATAAGATCTGCAGTTTGAAGCCATACTGGGCTACACAGTGAGACCCAGTCTCAAAACTTAAAACAACAAAACCCCAAGAGCTTGTATTCCCATCACCTAGGTTCCCCAGAGTAACATTTTATAATGTACAGAATACTTACTAGAGAAAATGACATGGACAACCCAACGGCCTCATCTGCCCCTCACCAGCTTCTCATACCCTGTGTGGTGGGTGTACACAGCTCCACAGCCTATCTATGTTCAGCCACAGTCAAGACAAAACCACTTCCACTGCAAGACACCTTCCCACTAACCCTGGCAAGCGCTGATCCATCCTGTCTCTGTGATTATAGACTTAGCGTTATTATTATTATTATTATTATTTCATCTTGGCTCTTTAAAGTAAGGTCTTGCATGTAGCCCTGCCTGGCCTGGAACTCAGTGTGCAGACCAGGCTGGCTTTGAACTATGGTGATACTTCTACCTCTACTTTCTGAGTACTGGGACTGCAGAAGTATACCACCATATAGGCAGCATAATTTGTTATTTTTAAATTTATTTTAGGAGCTGGAGTAATGGCTCAGCAGTTAGGAGCACTGGCTGCTCTTCTAAAGGAGCCAGGTTCAATTCCCGGCACCCACACTACAGCTCACAACTCCAGTCTCAGTGGGATCCAACAGCCTCTTTTGGCATCTGAGGTCACTGAATGCAGGCACACAGACACACATGCAGGCAAAACAACAGGTGTATATAGACAAACTAAATAATAACATAATAAATTTAGAGATTTATTTATTTTTTTACACAGTGTGTAATATGTGCCATGTGCCTGCTCAGTGTACTTGGAGGCTAGAGAGGTGCTGAATCTGCTGGAGCTGGAGTTCCTTTTGGAGTTGAATCACAAGTCCAGAACCAGGTTGGTCTACATACTGAGTTACAGTTGTGAGCTGCCTGAAGTAGGTGCTGAGAATTGACCCGGGTCCCGAAAGCGCTGTAAACTGTCAAGCCCTCTCTTTAGCCCTGAGATTGTTTTATTTTTGTGTGTACGTGTTTTTCCAAGACCAGAAGACATGTAAGACCCCTTGGAGCTCGAGTTACAGGTGCTTGTGAGCTGCCCAAGAGAGTCCCGGGATCCAAACTCATGACAGCAGCAAACTGTTTTAACTGCTGGACCATCTTTCCATCCTAGCATAGTCTTGAGCATGATTTGAGCCTGGGAGAAGAGGAGAGACCCCAGCTACTGTGACTCCACCCACTGCTGTTGTTTATGTTAGTGACACAGCACAGGAGACAACATACAACACTTCTTTAGATTACTCCTTCAGACTACCTCTGGATAGTATTCTACCCACAAAGCCCCTCTTAGGAAGGGAACTTACCCTGCCTTTTTAGTGAAGCGGCAACCACGGGCTTTTTCAGGCCACTCTTCCTTACACTGCTGTTTACTGCGTCTTGAGGCATCAGGGAGTTGTTCACCTGTGAACCTGGATCACGAATCGGTTAGAATACTTAACACGTGCCTAGGAACTGGGGTGCAACTCAGCTGGTGGAGCACATGCCTAACGTGCTAAGCCCTGGACTGAGCTCTGTGCCCCATTAAACTGGGGGTGGTGGCCTAAGCCTGTAATCCCAGCAATCAGGAAGGGGAGGCAGAAGAATCAAGTCAAGGTCATCCTCCACAGCATGGCTAGCCTGGGGTTTAGGAGATCCTGTCTCAAAAAACAAAACGAAGTCAGGCATTGGTGACTCACACCTTTATTCCCAGCACTCAGGAGGCAGAGGCAGGCAGATCTCTGTAAGTTTGAGGTCAGAGCTAGTTTCAGGACAGCCAGGGGTACACAGAAACTCTGTCAAAAAAACAAAAAAACAACAACAACAAAAACAAACAAAAAACAAAGAACAAAAAAACCAAACAAACTAAAAACTAAAAACCAAGACAAAATAAAGCATGACATCATTTCTGCAGCCGGGTATGTAATTTTTTCCCCCCAAGACAGAGTTTCTCTGTAGCTTTTGGAGGCTATCCTGGAACTCGGTCTATAGACCAGGCTGGCCTCGAACTCACAGAGATCCACCTACCTCTGCCTCCCAAGTGCTGGGATTAAAGGCATGCACCACCACCGCCCGGCCCAGGTATGTAATCTTAGCACGTGGGAGGTAGAGGCAGGAAGATCAGGAGTTAAAGGTCTTCTCAGCTACATAGTAAGTTCATTAGACTCAGCTATGTGAGACACCCTGTTTCAAAAAGGTCAGTCCCAGCCTAACACTCTCCAGGCAAAGTCTGCAGGCAAGTGAGATGGCTCAATGGAGAAAGGTACACATTGTCAGCCTGAAGATCCTGAGACCCACACAGTGGAAGGAGTGAACCAACCTCCACCCAAGAACACACACACACACACACACACACACACACACACACACACACACACACACACAGTAGGAAAAAGCAATTTTATTGTTACATCTTTATTGATTTTTAAAGATGTATTTATTTTTATTTTATGTGCATTAGTGGTTTTGTCTTCATGTATATATGTGTGAGGATGCCAGATCTTTTGGAATTTGAGTTACGGACAGTTGTGAGCTGCCATGTGGGTGCTTGGGAACTGGCCGTGGGACCACTTCCAGAGCACCCAGTGCTCTTAACTGCTGAGCCATCTCTCCAGCCCTTTTTAAAGATTCATTTATTTATTATGTATACACCATTCTGCATGTATCCCTGCAGGCCAGAAGAGGGCATTAGATCTCATTATAGATGGTTGTGAGCCACCATGTGGGTGCTGGGAATTGAACTCAGGACCTCTGGAAGAGCAGCCAATGCTCTTAACCCCTGAGCCATCTCTCCAGCCCTGGAGATAATCTTAAAAGAAGTCTGCAAACCTGGGGCTAGAGCAATGGCTCAGCAGTTAAGAGCACTGGCTGCTCTTGCAGAGGAACCGGATTTAGTTCCCAGCACCCGCACGGTGGCTCCCACCTCTTGTGACTGCAGTTCCAGGGTATTCCATATTCTCTGGCCTCCTCAGGTACCAGATACATACACGGTGCACAAACATACATGAATGTACATACATGTATATGTATACATACAGACAAGACACACATAAAGTAAAATATCATTTTAAACTGGGCAGTGGTGGCGCTCGCCTTTAATCCCAGTACCCAGGAGGCAGAGGCAGGCGGATCTCTGTGAGCTCATGGCCATCCTGGACTACAGAGTGAGATCCAGGACAGGCTTCAAAGTTACACAGAGAAACTCTGTCTTGAAAAACAACAACAACAAAAAAAAAACAAAAAACAAAAAAAACCAAACCAAAATCAAACCAAAAAATATCATTTTAAATTCTTTAAAATTATAAAGCTTGATTTGATAATAATTTCTAAAGCATCTAAAACACAGTCTTTGCTAATATCCAGGATAGCTTTAGTTTCTAGAAGGAACCAGTATTAACCTTTAACCACCAAATTGTAACTTTTCCTGCTGTTTATGAGAGACTGTGGCTGCAAACAGAAGTGGGACAAAGGAATGTACCCAGGGTTTTCATCTTTGATAACCAACAACATACTTCCTGGTGAGCGCTCCTCCATTTTCTTCTCTATGGATAATTTTGCGATATTTCTTTGATTTTTGTTTGTTTGGTTGTTTTTGAGACAATGTAGTCTAAGACGGCCTCAATCTTGCTACACAGCTAAGAATGACTTTAATCCTGATCCTCTAGTCTCCACCTTTAAGTGTTGGAATTACTTACATATACCACTACAGCCAGTTTATTTATTGTTTGTTGTGTATGTATGTGTCAGGTTGTGGCTGCATTCCTGCTGAGCTACTCCTGGCTTGGTTCCAGAGAGTAGCACCTAGCCCTGATCCATCCTTTGTGAATCTTGTCTGGGAGTCTCCCCAGGATTAAAGGCCTATGCAAAACTTGAGGATTAAAGGCCTATGCAAAACTTGGTTCACAAATCTCGGAAAACAGTGGAAATCTGAGAAATCAAGGAATTTGCACTTGGCATTTTATCTTTGGGAGCTCCTTTCAGGTTGCTTTGAAGATACGGAAATTAACTGGCTAAAGTATGAATAGAGAGAAAATAAAAATGCCCTGGGCGAAGGGAAAGTGCTTCAGTCCTCAGAGGTTGGACTCCCCTCCAGCGGCCAAAGGCTAAATTCATTCTTAAGGTGCGTTTGAGTCTTCTTCCCATGGATCTGAGTGAACCCATATACCCATGCCGTGACACACTGCAACATCAGGTGGTGGTGGGGTGAGCACTTTTGTGTGTAAGAATGTGGCAGTCAGAACAGGATGTTGGCTACCTTCCTGTACTGCTGTCTACCCTAATCTCATGAGAAGAGTCTCTCACTGGTGTTGTGGGATGTCTTTCTGCTGTGAATATGTTTTGCTATGATTGGTTAATAAAGAAGCTACTCTGGCCTATGGTGAGTCAGGATATAGCCAAGCAAGAAATCTAAGCAGATAGACAGGAAGAGAACAGAGGCAGAGAGACGCCAGCCTGCTGCCCAAGGAACAACAGGCCAGCAGACCGGTAAGCCCATGGTAAGTTCCATGGAACACATGGCAAAACATAGATTAATAGAAATGGATTAATTTAAGCTTTAAGAGCTAGCTAGCAAGAAGCCTGCCATGTGCTATGCAATTGGTAATTAGTATAAACAAACCTCTCAGAAGTGTCTGTGGGACTGCAGGCTGGGTGGGACTGGAGAAACCTGACTACACACTGGACCTGAAGCTCTCCATTTGGCTAGTTAACTTGTCAACACATTCCCAGGATCCACCAGTGTCCACCTCCCAATTTCCATTATAATAAGCTGTTTGGTGTTGGGGACTTTGTCCGTGCTAAGCAAGTACTCTACCAATGAACCACACTCCCAATACACAGTGTGGTTTTTGTTGTTGTTTTGGTTTTTTTGACATAGGGTTTCACTACATAGCCAAGGATGGCTTGGAACTCTTTAGGTAGATCAGATTGTCCTCAAACTCAAGATCTACCCACTTCTGCTTCTAGAATGTACCACCAGGCCTGGCCCATACTTTGAAAAAATAAATTGTTCTGAACAAGAGTCCTAGCAGGGCAGTGATATGGCACGCCTTTAATCCCAGCATGAGAGGCAGAGACAAGTGGATCTCTGAGTTCAAGGCCAGTGTGGTCTACAGTGTGAGTTCCAGGACAGTCAGGGCTACCCAGAGGAACCCTGTCTCAAAAAACAAAAACAAAAATAAAACTTAAAAAAAAAAAAAAACAAAATAAAACAAAAAACCAAAGAACAAGAGTCCTTTCCCACAATTCTTCAGACTCAGTTAAAGACAAAAGACAATCTCCAAACACCAAAGAAATAAGTGAAACTGTCTCACCAGACACTTCCTCCTTCTTCCTCTTCCGTGGCTTAGGGGCAGCAGATTCACAAGCTGAGACAGATGATTCTGAGTGGCAGCCTAACTGGGGCACAATTAGTTCTTTAAGACCTTAAAAAAAAGTTTCTGAATTACTATTACTATCCAAAAGAAATTATGGGCCCCTAACTATAGAAATAGTCCATAAAAATCTGACTCCAGAAAAAAAAAAAAAAAAAGATAAACCAGTTGTCTAAAGTAAAATATGTTACTTGAAAGAACTCTCCCAAACACTGTGATCTATTTAGGAGTGGGGAAGCGGCTCGGGAGCAGAGCGCTTGCTTAGAATGTATAAGGCTCTGGGTCCCATCTCCAGCACGCACGCGCGCGCACACACACACACACACACACACACACACACACACACACACACAAACACACAAACACACTTTGCTAAATCAACCATCCAACCAAACTCGTATGCATGTGCTGTGCTGGCTGGAATTCGAAGGGAATGTTAGCCAGGAGGGATAGCTCTGGCCTCTAACCCCAGCACACAGAGGCAAGAGGACTGAGTTTGAGGGCAGCTGGGTTACTTGACCAAAACACTATGTATTATTCATTTATTTGTGAGGGTTTTTTTTTTTTTTAAAAGCAAGGTTTCTCTGTGTAGTTCTGACTGTCCTGGAACTCACTCTGTAGACCAGGCTGGCCTTGGACTCACAGAGATCTGCCTGCCTCTGCCTCCTGAGTGCTGGGATTAAAGGTATGCACCACCACTGCCTGTCTAACAGTATGTTTGTTATTGTTTGTTTGTTTTTTTTAAAGATGCACTGGTGAGATGGCTCAGTAGGTAGAAGTACTTGCCATGGACCTGAGTTCAATTCCTGGATCCCTTGTAAAGGTGGAAGGAGAGAAATGACACCAGAGTTGTCCTGAGATGTGTACATGTGAGCCATGGTACATGCCTGCCTACCTACCTACACACACACACACACACACATACACACAAACACACACACACACACACACGGAGTGCTATGCATCTCTTCTATCTAGCACCTGATTTTAAGGGCTGTTAGGACAAGTTCCAAAGGCATCAGTGGAACGCCTTCACTGCCATCTTAGAACAAGTGAATAACTGTCATTCTTCCCACCTACCGCTGGCATCAAGATTTAGGAAGTCCGAGAATTCCTGAGCCAATGTTTCATCACTGGCAAAGGCACAGAGGCAGGCAAAGAAGTGGATGCACCTCGGGGCTGCCTCAGCCTTGGGGACGCTGGACTTGTGTGACTTCAGAGTCTGGCAGGAGCAGAAGAAGCGGCGCTCTGGCAGGCTTCTGGAGCTGATTTTCTGCGTGAAGGACGTGTGCAAGTAGCCCAAGCTGTGCTTTTGGCTTGCCTTGCATTTTACTACCATGATGTTTTTAGTGACTCTCTGTACCAGGGGACCCGTAGGTTCTGTGGCCAACTGCCAGATGGTCTGTTTGGTTTCTGGGGGGGCCTGCATAGCATTCAGGACTGAACTCTTCAGAGTCAGAGGGGTAGCCTCTGCCTGGCAGTTAACTGCTAGCTTGATGTGCTGACACTGGTTTTCCACCATGCCTTGAGTGGCAGCTTTCAAACACGAGGGGACATAACACCGGCCAGAGCTCAGCTGAGTGATGATTGTCCCATCCACTGTCTGGATTGTCGTCTCTGAAACACCTAGTTCCACAAAGCATCGGTAGTCAGGGCCCCGGTCTCTTTGCCGCACAGAGTAGACCTGTAGATCAGAGCCTGTGATGATTTTGACAGCTTCAATACTAGGCTGCTTCCGGGCACCATAGCGAAATATGGTTCCGCATGTCTTGTTCTTACAGCTCAACCCACGGGTTCCATTGTACGTACCACATCGGGGACACTTCCTGATTCCCCTCAATGTGGCCTTCCCCAAGTCAGATAAGAAAGCTGGGACTTTAGTTCTCTGAGAGTTTGGTTCCATTGTTCACAGTCCCTAGAAAGACAAGACCATAAGCAGAACACATTCACACAAAGTTAACACTGAGAGAGAGAAAAAGAGAGGGAGGGATTTCTATTTATTTTTGACATCGGATCTCACTTTGTAGCTCAGACTGGCTTGTAAAAATGTAGCTATGCTGGGTAATTTCCACTTGACACAAGCTAGAGTTACCTGAAAGGAGGGAACCTCAATTGAGAAAATGCCTTTATAATATCTGGCTGTAAGGCATTTGCTTAATTAGTGATTGATGGGGGAGGGCCCAGCCCATTGTGGGTGGTGCCATCCCTGGGCTGGTGGTCCTGGGTTCTATAAGAAAACAGACTGATGCCAGGCATGGTGGCACACACCTTTAATCCCAGCACTCAGGAGGTAGAGGCAGGTGGATCTCTGTGAATTCAAGGCTAGCCTGGTCTACAAAGAAAGTCCCAGGACAGCCAAGGCTGTTATACAGAGAAACACAAAAGAATACGCTTTAAAAAACCAAAAAAAGAATAAAAGACAGGAAGGAAGGGAGGGAGGGAGGGAGAAAGAAAACAGAAAGAAAGAAAGAAAGAAAGAAAGAAAGAAAGAAAGAAAGAAAGAAAGAAAGAAAGAAAGAGAGAAAGAAAGAGAGAGAGAGAGAGAAAAGAAAGGATAGAGCAAGCAAGCAAATAAGCAGAGTAAGCCAGTCAGCAGCACTCCTCCATGGCCTCTGCATCAGCTCCTGCCTCCGGGTTCCTGCCCCTTATGAGTTCCTATCCTGACTTCCATTGATGATGAACAGTGATATGGAAGTGTAAGCCAAATAAACCCTTTCCTTCCCAAATTGCTTTTTGGCTGTTGTGCTTTGTTACAGAAACAGTAGCCCTAACTAAGACAGTCGTCCAGGCTAGTCTCAGATTCTCTCAGATCCTCCCGCCTTAGCCTCCCAAATCGCTGGGCCTAGGGTGCTGCTTTAGCATCACATACACTGGAGATGGTGGTACATAGCCAGCACTCAGTGTAATCCCAGCACTCAGGAGGGAAAGACAAGAGGAACATGAATTCAGTGTCATCCTCAGTTACAAAGGAGTTCAAGGCCAATCTGGGCTACATGAGAACCTATCTCAATAAGAAAGGACCAGAGCACAGGAAAGATGGGTTCCTTCCCTTCTACTGGTCCCCAGAATCCCAGCCCAATCCTACCTGTACCAGCTGCCAGGGCACCTGGAGAAGAGTGGAACCTTTGTCCATAAGACCTAAAGTGTGCTTCATTAGTTTGTGATGAAGAGACAGCTCAGAGACAGGCATGCTCATTTGCAGTGAGACATGCCACTTGGCCTAAGTCTTCTGAAGGCTCATCTCTGATGTAACAATGCAGACATTCTCTTTGCCCCCCCGGCAAAGCTTGCTCAGGGTTCCAGTCAGAGTTCCAGTCTGATTCCAGCTCCCCTGGGTAGAGATCTTGGCAGCCTAAAGCAAAACAAGAGAAGACAGTTGTCACATGACAAAGATGGTTCTTTCCACTTAGAAATAGGCAGGCTAAGGGCCGGGGCAGCTCCGCAGCGGGGCACGTGCACAGTGCACATCGAGTCCTGGGGCCAGTCCTCAGCACCAGAACACCAGCACAAGCAAAAGCCCCCGGGGTCCACACCTCAACTTTTGACAAGTATTTGAGAACTCGTTGTCAAATATTGCTCTGGAAATTTCTAACAAGAAAGTAATACAGCAATAGTAAGGGCATTATGCAGGGCTGACAGGAGCACAAGTCACAGCAGCAAACTGGTCACACTCATCTTCCCTAATGGTAATACATAACATCTTTGAGTGCTTTAGGGTTCTTATTTTTCACTGAAATTTTTGAAAATTAATTTTTATGTGTTCGTTTGGCCTGCATGTATATCTATGCACCAACTGCATGCCTGGTGACTATGAAGTCAAAAGAGGGCACCAGACACCCTAGAACAGGAGTCATAGATAGTTGTGAGCCACAACGTAGGTGCTGGGAACCAAACCTGTGTCCTTTAGAAGAGCAGTAAGTGCTCTTAACTGCTGTGCCATCTCTCCACACCTCCCCCTC